ATAATAGAATAATTAAAATAGTATAAAAAGTTAATTTAGATTATTTTTTACTTAATATAAAAAAATTATAAAGATTGATTAAAATTTGAATGATTTTTATTAGAAGTAATTATTAATTTTTATATTGAGATACAAATCTTTTTGCACTAATCTATATTTATATTTTTTATATATTAATATTTTTTCTTTTTTTATGTTAATTATCTAAATACATATCAATATTATAATTATATAAAAATTATTTATTATAGTATTTTGATAAAGTTGATAAAGAGATTGATATAAAAATTAATAAAAAAAAGAAAAATCTTATAGAAATAAAGACTATATGATAATGATATTAATATATTTATTAAAAAAAGTTCATAATTTTTTATATATATTATTATTAAATAATTATTAAAATTAGATTACTAATTATAATATTATTAAATAATAATTAAATTTAAAATAATATAAAAATATGATTTAATACAAAAAGATTTGTATCTCAAATAAATATTAACAAAATAAAATTTTTAATTCTGTCTTATTTAATTAAGTTATTAAATATTGGAATTTCTTTAAATATAAAAATTTTTATTATCATATATCTTTAAATGTAAGTAATTTTCAAATATAATTAATTATTTCTTTTTAAGATTTGAGATTCTGAAAATATTATATATAAAATATAATAAATTTATACTTGAATATAAGTAATTCTTCTTTCTCTTTGTCTTATCAAAATCTTGCATTTTTTGATTATTTATATTTGAAGATATATGATATATATCTTTTATAAAAAAATTTTTACTAATAATAACTTTTTTGATTATTATTTCTTAAATTTTACTATATAAAATTTGATTAAAATTAATATAAAAATTATATAGTAAATAATTTAATTACTAAACTTTGAATCTTAATTTCTTTATAACTATTGATTCAATTTTTATAAAATTTAAAATATATATTTATCAAATCTAAGACAATCTGCTAATATTACAAATTGATAGTGATAATATTAAAATACCTTGTTTTTTAAAATAATAATTTTTATTACAGTTTTTTTTAGAAAAGTATTACTTTAGTATAATAGAATAATTAAAATAGTATAAAAAGTTAATTTCGATCATTTATTTAATATAAAAAAATATAAAAATTGATTAAAATTTTTATTAGAAGCAATTATTGATTTTTTTATTGAAATACAAATCTTTTTGCACCCAATCATAGTATAAAATTTATATTATTCAAAATAAAATTCTTTGATGACACTCTCCAAGCACATGCTGCGCATACTTTGAAAAATTCGCTGATTCGCAGAACACACATGAACAACCCTCGACCTCCAGGTGCTTCTTCCATACCAGTCACATTATTGTATCCGATCTTTGGTCAATTTGTGGATGATTGTAAAAGCGGGCGGCCTTCAGAGGATTTTTCATTTTATTTTGAATTTACCATACCATATGTCTATGCTCTATAATAATGAAAGGGAACGTGCAGAGATATTCCGTGAACTTTTAACAGCATATTGCAGGCTTAAATTCTATGTACGCGAAATCAAAGGTGGATATAGAACAGGTGGATATAGAACAGACAGATCTTTATCAACAGGCGACTATTATTATGTTAACGTGAAAACCAAGGTTGAACTTGGTTCAGGTGGAGAATTTTATTTCAAACATCTATCTTTTATTTAAATATGATGCGTGAACATGCAATGAAATACCCTCAGTTTGTTTCTATTTTGCTGGTAAGTAGCTTTGTTTACATGCATGCAAACAGTATTGCACAGTAAGCTTACATGAAAATTTTTTTAGGTTCTACTTCCGGCTTTTGCAGTAGCATGTCTGAAAAAAGCTCACATAGACTCATTAACTCCCACGTTGCTCCTTGCTTGGAATCCTTATGAGAAAGAATGAGAATATGGCTTTATCTTTAAGAAGGCTATTCATAATCTGAAAACATATTATGAGAGTGAATTCCCTGCACAATTACTGCAAACTCTACAAAATCTAGAGTTGCCATATCGTTTGTTCATCGAATTTTGGTTTTTTTGCCCATTTGGGGAACCAAGCGAGAATAAAACCGACTTGATAGATGATAAAATACTATTATTAGTTAAATTTTCTTCGTCGCAAAAAATTTTAAATTAACGGTTGATTCATATCAAGTTCAATTTTGAATCCACGTTCGAGGAAGATATTTTTGATCCTTGCAGACCAGGAACCATTGGATACATTAAATATTTTTCGGCAAGAACAAAAAATTTTTCGTTGACCAAATTATGCATTCAACCTAAGTACTTTTCGTCGAGGACTTGTCGTATAAAGGTAAAGTAAACCGGAAAGTAGGGAAATTCAACTTGTTTTATTAAATGTCCAGCTTACTGCATTTCTGCGCAGTAATTTACTGCAAATTCTGCAAACAAAAAGCGTCTGATAATCAAAATTTAAAAAAAATTAAAAACTAGGTTACTTTGGGACGCGATATCTCGACGTCCAAAAGTCCAATTTGGATACAAATAGAACTATTCGATTCGTCTAGATTAGTTAAATCGAATGTTCCTATTTTTGTTCAACTTGGACCGTTGGACGTCGAGATATCGCGTCTCAAAGTCACCGAAATTTTTTTCAATAGATTCTTCCTTTTATCATCTAAAAATATTTTTGTAATCATGAACATGAAGATCATTTTTATATTGTAAAATCACATTATTATGCATTTGCAGATTTCTGCAAATTCTGCTTTTACTGCGGCAGAGTCGAGTCGATATTGATCCAAAATATACTTTGCAGACAATAAAATCGACTCATTAATTTCAAGTAGAGTTTTATATTGCGCGTATGCATATTTAGTTGAAAGAACGGTCACCTAATGAAATATTTCATGATTTTTATGCTATAACCACTATGAGGCCCCCGTTGGTGGCTGTGCCCCAATAAAGCTTCAAGTCTCTTTCGGCGAGGATTTTCATCTTTCCTCATTTCTTGTGAGGTCGTTTTTTTAGACGGATAAGTTCTAACAATTCGATTGTTTTGAGCTTTGACTCGGTGATGCTCGATTTAGAATTATCCAATGGCATAAAGTGACACACTCTTTTTTAAAGTGACTTCTCGTCATCATTTTTCATTATTCCCATTATTCTATTCTATAACAATGACGGTGGATACAACACCTTCTTTACAAGCTATTATTTTCCATCAAATGTTGTTTCTTTTCTCCGGGTTTTTTCAAACTTTGGGGGCACAATATTTATATTATCAAGGGGCTGCCAGTTAGTATTTTTATGGCCTATACTATGTATTATTTCGGCATTGCAGGAAGGTACTAACGTTTTTGGGTTTCTTTGACATCTCTTTCATAGCTGGAACTAGGTACTGAGTTATGCTTAAAGGTTTAATATACTTTATCGAGAAACATCTTATAAACTACTTTGGCTTAAAATGAAAACTTTATTGAAATCCTGTTATTTTCATTTAGTCTTCTCACGAATACTGCCTCTTATTTAGGCATGGCCTCGGTGGGTTTACTTCTATTACCGACAGGATGGACGAATATAATACGTCGTGAACCTTTTATCAATGGTTCTTCTGGAACAGAGATTGACATGGTTGCCATGGGTGCAGTCCAGGTTTGTGATTATTCAGTTACTTTATTTTTTGCTAGGCTTAAATTTTTACGAAGCTCTTTTCCACAATAGAACACCACCAAACAACAGAAGGATTATAGTCTATTACCTGAGGATGACGAGGATGATGAAGATGATCATGAACGATCTATTAATAAAAGTAAAATGGATGATGTAAACTATAAAGCAATTATTAGGGTGGCAATATTGGACGTATGTGCCAACTTTTTATTGACAATTGGATTTTTTTATATTGGAAGTGGAGTGAGTCTCTTATCTTTAAATTGTTTTGTTTTAATCATCTTTTATTTTTCAGATCTATTATATGTAATTCCTTGTATACTAATTATCGATGAATGTATGTATTACTGAAAGATGTTTCAAGTGATTTACAGTTCAGTTGTTGTGTGGTGTGCAATATTATCCTTTTTTTTCCTTCGACGAAAAATCTCGTGGGTACAATGGCTTTGTATAGTTGGTGTATCTTTTGGCTTGGGGATCAGTGCAATTGGTATCGAGCATAATGATCAAGGAGAACATCATAAAGCTCCACCGCCGACTACGACAATATCTGGTCCAGTATTGCTTCATTCATTTAATTTATCATCGACCGGATTTGGGACGATACTCACGTTTGTCGCAACCTTTGGATATTCTTGCGTCTACGTATTATCCGACAAAATTCTATCAACTAAAAGTCACACGAGCACAAATCCACCATCACCGGAAAAAACGTGTTTTCTTATTGGAAGTTGCTGCAGTGTTTTCTCATCCATCTATCTACTTTTTTACACGATTCCAAATTGGGATAAACTGGTGACGCAAGAGATGGTCGCGAAAAAATCGAACATTACGGTTTCGGTGATTGTCATCATCTATGCACTCTTGATCTTTGCCGCTTTCATTCATAATTTCGCGTACTTTTCTCTGATGCAATCCACCGGGAATATCTCAACGGGGTTATTGAATTCGCTGAGAGCGATCGTGGTATTCGGATTAAGTCATTTCATGTTTTGTAAGATTGATCAAGGACAATGTTTTAATATTTGGAAAGGGTGGAGCGCTTTAGTCGTTATTGGGTGTGTTACGGTTTTTTCAGTGAGTAAAGCGAGAGAGAAATGAATTTTAAATTTATATTTATTGGTTTACTTTAATAAAAATTACTGATCTACGCAAATAATAATGAGATCATAATTTCATTTGCTATGCATATTCAAATTTGTTATGGATCGTTATGTCACGTTGCTTACTTTAGTAGCGCAGTTTTTGAATTTTGTTACTTTACCACTTTCCGAATTTCTTGTTATAATTTTCTTTCTCCCTCATACACACGCACACACACACACACATATATATACATACAAACGCTATATACGCTTTCTTTCGATATTTTACTCTCGAGAAAGCCAAGAACAGACTTTTAAAATTTTCACAAAAAGTCTTTGCAATTACAATGCAACTCTTTTTCGGAAAACAAAAGCCAAAGGCAAACGCCAAAGATGCCATCGTTCGTCTGCGTGATACTCTAAGCATGTTGGAGAAACGTGAAAACCATTTGCAGAGTAAAATTGACGCAGAACTTGAGATTGCTAAGAAAAATGCTACCGGAAATAGGAGAGGTGTGTGTGTGTGTGTTTTTTTTAGCTTTTGATTTTCTAATATGCCAAAGACAAGATAGTGTACCTTTTGTTTCTTAATAAACGAAATAGTATTCGAATGCTTTTTTGTGTAGTAAGAGTTTCAATAAAAAATGGGCCGAACCATTCACGCGTACTTCAAGTATCGTGGCATGCCATTTGTTCCATTTCATTTTTTTCGCGTATTTTTTAAATAGATAGATGATAGATATAATGTTTTTGTTAAAATGCACGAGTTTCTTTTGCAAAAAGTTGATTTCGTTGGAAAAGAGTAAACTAATGAATCTTGATTTTTTCTGGTAGCCGCATTGATGGCACTCAAACGGAAGAAGCAATACGAGAGTCAAATCGAAAAGATATCCGGTGCACGTCTAACAATTGAGACCCAAGTGATGGCGATTGAAAATGCAAATGTTAATCTAGAGACTATCAAAGCTATGGAAAAGGGTGCTGAGGCAATGAAAACAATACATGGATCGATGTATGCAAAACTTAGAAGTGAACCTCTCTTTTTTTATTGTTTAAAGCGTCCTATCTCGTTACTACACTTATCATATTAATTACAGGGATATTGACAAAGTGGACGACACAATGGAATCGATACGCGAACAAATGGACTTGGCAGATGAAATATCGAATGCAATTTCTGCACCGCTGGCGGGTATAGATATGGATGACGTACGCTATTGTGACATTATTAAAGAATTATTCTCTTTTTTCCTACATGTTTTATCTATGAATCAACTAACAACTTCAAATGATATCTTTAAAGGATGAATTGACAGCTGAGCTAGAAGAATTAGAACAAGCAGCCCTGGATAATGAATTATTACGTGGAGGCGCAATTCCTGCTACAGTTCCAAATGTTCCAATTGGCGAACCAGGTATATAAAATCTCCTTTATTTACGTTTCTCATCGTTACAATAAATAATTTGCTTTAATTGTTAATCGAATCATCTATAATAAAATAGGAGTTAAGTCGCGACCGAGGGAGGAAATCGAGGAAGATGCAGAATTAGAAGATTTACGAGCGGCGATGGCATTGTAATTCCTCTTCTGTCCTGTCTGTCTGCCACCTTCTCTTCTTCAGCTCTATAAGCATAAAATAAATGACTTCAATATATACGAAACCTCACCTAGTCTAATGAGCAAATTAAAGCATATTTATTAGAAATTTCTTCGCTGTTAAATTAATATACATAGATGATGATTATATTTTTTCCGGTTATTTTAATTGAAACATGATAATGTTATTTTTTTTCCATCACACGTGTATTCATATCGATTTATAAATAATTTGTTGATTATTTTTGATCACTGATTCAACCAAAACCTTTGTTTGCAATGCGTTCAACTCTCTTACTCACCTTTCTTTTAATCATAATCAAGTAAGTTTAGGGTTTTCACATACTATATTTTTGCATCATATAACTGTCAACGCATTTATTTTAGTGTTCTTGCTCCTATAACGTTCGCGGAAAATCTACAAAAAGTTGAAGGGCGGCTAGTCACAAATCATGTGTTAACTGGTATCCCGCTTCACATTCTTGATGAGATTTATTGGATGTTTATGTTTATATACTAACTTGATGTTACATGGTAAAGAGTTAGCAAACCTAGAACCAACGACTCGAGTAGTGCTGTATGGAGGAAAAGGATATTCTGCTCTAGTTCGCGAAGACGGCAAATTTGTAATGTAGGTGGGAAGAATCTGCGTTTTTTCTATAGTAATTCTTTTATTGAATTTTTATTAATTAATTATATTGATTTTTTTTCTCAGAGATAATGTCGCGCCGGGATCATATCTACTGGATGTTTTGTCACGGAAATATATATATCCTAAGGTATGGATTCGTCTTATTACGATAAAAGAAATCGGAGCAATCATAATAATCTCCTTTACCATGATTGTTATATTTATTATAGTTAAGAGTAGATGTGAGTGGCATGGGAGTAACACCATTCATTACCATGCCTGGTTTCGAATGGGGAAGTTTAGGCCCGGCAGTACCATATCCATTAGAATTAGCACCAAGAGACGTCACTAAATACTTTATAGTATGATTTCGATTTATCCTTTCCTATATTCATTTATTCACGTACGCATCGCTGACATTGATCTTTTTATGATGATTAGGCACGAGAAGGGTTCAGCATCGCTAGCATCTTTGCAAATCCATTGCTAATAATGATGGGACTTAGTGTGCTAATGCTCTTTGTTATGCCAAAGATGATGGCGAATTTAGGTACGAAAAGCTATAAAAATTCGTGAATATATGCACGTATGATTTTTTTTCTAATCATTATTCTTTTTCAAAGATCCCGAAGAATTGGAGCAAATGAAAAAGAATCAGCCCGCTATTAATCCTCTAGAGCAACTACCTGATATTTCGAGCACTTTGGCAAACTGGGGAAAAGATAAAGGGAATAAAAAATAATTGATTATTATGCACATATACAATATATATATCCTTGGATATTCTTTCGAAGAACGAGCTTGAGAACTAGGACATTGAATTAGTTTTCATTATTTTTAATTTATATATTAAATTAAAATCATTATCTTTTATTAATATAATTAAAATATAATTTCTTATGTGTAATTTATCATTTTTACTCATCGGTCGTTATTAATATAAACTTAGAGAAACACATTAAAATAAATACTGATAATAAAAATTCGCTATATTACATCTCTATATTTTTGAAATACCTGTTAATAATCGACTACACGTTTTTCGCCACCCGCCCAACCCCGTTTATTGTCTTGATCCTCGGTGTTAATGTTACTTCTAGAAACCAGACCTCCGAAATGTAGCGCTCACAGTACTTTGCAAAGTATTGGTGACAGTGTTGGCAAGATTTGCACCAAGATCTCGAGCAACAGCCCCGGCACCACTTCCAGCTATCGTAGCCATAGTTCCTGTTCGTTTTTTGAGTTTATTTGCTTCGTTCACGGCAGAAACAATCTCAGCGAGGTTTGTTTCTAACACCTGTGATCAGGGTTGTTATTGAAAATATTATAACGTGAGAATAGTTAGAAGAATTGCAGCATGCTAGGAGGAATAAATACCATTCCACCCGAGATTACTTCCGCCAGGATGTTGTGAACCTGTTGTAATAGTAACATTAAAAGGAGAAAAGGTGTTGAAAGCTGCCCAAGAGGGTTCATCATGGCGAAATCAGAACTATAGCAAAAACATTAATTACATCTTCAAAATGAAATATCTATTGCACGAGACAAAAATGTTAGAAAAAAGAAATTCTCGAGGAAAAAAAAGCAAAGATTAACAGCAAAAATAATACCAGATCAAGTTCGCAGACATTCTCAAAACATCGATCCAAACTTTCAACAAAAACCTTCATAGAAAATTGTTGATAATTTTATACAATGAATTATGCTCATCTTGGTGGTTCAACAAAAAAAAAAGAGTTTTCCGTCTTTTGAAAATGATGCAAAAAATATACCTGGATTAAGTCAAGGATGCCTAGTTCGCTTTCAGCCTCGTCCACCACAAAAACAAAGTATAATGTGGCATAATGTCGGTAGATAATGCGGGTGTCTTTGCCGCCTAACATTTGACTTCCCTCAAGGAAGTTACATACAGTGTCTGGGCGTTTCGATACAAGAGAAAAGATTTCCTGTATTAGAGCTTGTTGTGTTGCTATATCCTTAATTTGTATAAAAAAGCCATTATTAGACAGATAGTAGGCACGATCATTCACTTTTCACAGTATTTCATGACTAGTTGAAAGTAGAAATCCCAAATATATTAACGCACGATTTGCTGGTAAAACTTTGTAAGACGAGGTTTTCCATGGTTGTTGAAAATTAGAACAGACTTTATCATCTTATTTCGATAAAAGATGGAATGTTTGGTAAATTTCTACCCACCCGATTTGGCAATTTATTCAATTTATTGATTTTTTGTTCGTGTTTGTCACGCGAAATATTTTTTGAGGAAAAAAAATTATGGTGAATTCCGTTTCCACCAAGAAAAGAAAGACAAAACCAGCAGTCATTACTGCCGATTCTCTACCGGGAAAACCTATAAAGCCCAGAATTTTCCAGCCTTTTCGTGCTATCGGCTATGTCACTAACGACGTTCCGTTCACCCTTCAAGGCAGGGGAACCGCCTTTTTCCTCACAACCTGTGTTGGCAACAGTTTTCATATATATGATGTATGTGGTGCCCTTATTTATGCCTGAAAAGCTTCATTTCTTATATGTCTCGATAACTTTTTCCTTCAAGTGCACAAAGTTGAACTTGTTATTTGTAGGTAGGCCCAGAAAAATAGGTTCTACGGCTTTTTCGATTTTTAATTTGTTAACGTGGTTTTATTATGTGTGATTAGGGCCACAAACAGAACTCCCTATTACGGCAATGGCTTCTGCTAAGGATACTACTTTCGTAGCTTGTTCCAAAGAGATTATTCTCTTTAATAGAGCTAAAGAGGTAATGTTTACAATTCACAAATCAATTTCTAATCTCTAATGACGGATCATACACGTTGGAATCAAATTGATACCATTCTTTTCTAAAATCTCGAAGATTAGGCGATTGACTAGCAAAAATCAAGGAAATATTTTTTCACTGACGGTGTTGGGTCATTTTCTGATTTCTATGAGCGATAACAACAAAATAACTGTGTGGAATCATGAAACTGGAGGTGAGTAAATTTGTGTTTCAAGTTTTTCTCACATCATCTTTCTAATTGATTTTCTGTTATAGAGCTTTACACGGAACTTGAATTTGTCGAGAGATTCACGGTGTCGACGATTGTACATCCACACACATATCTTGATAAGATATTAGTAGGAAGCATTCAAGGAACCATGGAAATTTGGAATATTCGTACAAAGTAATTGACAGATAATTCTGTATATAAAAATTTATAGCTCAAAATCTTTTTAATAATATTATAATTTGTATTAGCAAATTGATATATTCATTTTCCTCATTCGGTTCACCTATAACAACACTTACTCAGTCCCCAGTTGTGGATGTTATCGCTGTTGGCTTACTCGATGGCACCATAATATTGCATAATATCAAAGCTGATGAAAGAATTAAGACATACACCCAGGAAGGTCGAGTAACATCCATAACTTTTAGAACAGGCAAGTATAATAATTACCAAATCGTTATTTTTACGAATCAACACTAATATTCGAAATACCATATAAATGTTTAGATGATCAACACGTCATGGCAACTGCGAATATAAGTGGAGATATTGCACTATGGAACCTGGATCGAAAAATTTTGATTCATGTGATGAAGGGAGCACACGATGGATTAATTCCTGCTATTCAGTTTCTTAATGGACAACCTATTTTAATTACGTCGGGTGCCGATAATTCTGTAAAGGTACATGACGAATGGGAAAGAGGAACATACTGTGTTTTTTATGGCATTCAATTTTTTTCTATATTGCAAATTTAGGAATGGATTTTTGATAATTTAGATGGGTTGCCAAATTTACTTAAATCTCGGAGTGGTCATCATGCACCACCAACTATCATTCAGTATTATGGCACTGATGGTCATTGCATTCTGAGTGCTTCTGCGGATAGATCATTAAGATCTTTTTCGATTGTTCGCGATTCTCAATCTGTCGAACTTTCACAAGGTTTACTACATACACATTAATTAATTAATATAAGCCGTAGGGGATTTTCTCATTAATTACTCTACTCCTTATCTTAAATTAGGTTCTATAAATAAGAAATCAAAAAAATTGGGTGTAAAAATAGATGTGCTTAAATTACCACAAATAACACAATTTTCTGCTGGCAAGTTATCATTGCATGCTTTTTTCGCATAAGAATATAAACTTAATACATTCTTCTCTTGTAATTCGTTTAGTCCAATCAAAACAACAAGAATGGGACAATATTCTTTCTTGCCATCTCAATGCGAGATATGCGTGGACCTGGTCGTATCAAAAAAAAGTTATCGGAAAATTCAAGTTTGCGCCGCGCGATGGGTCATATGTTAAAGTACGAGCAAAACAGAACGCATAAATCATTAGTATGAGTTTTGGTTAATATAGATTAAAAAACTAAAATTAATCTCGTTTAAAGGCCACGGCTGTAAGTGCATGTGGTAATTTCGGGATCATTGGATCTTCATCCGGCTGTATAGTAATGTTTAACATGCAATCCGGAAAGCTCCGTAAAACTTTTGCTGGCTCAGATGGTAAATAAGAATTTCTTAATACTTATTTGGTTTGTATTAGGTGTTATTAATGAGATTATCGATTTTTGAATAGAGCATGGTAAATCTATTTCTGGCTTGGCAAGTGATCCCTTAAATCGTTTCATAATCAGTAGCTCACTTGATGGTACAATCAAGGTAATACTGGTTCGTTTAGCGGGAAAAAAAGGGTGTAAAAGAAGTCTAAAATTATTTTGACCTTTGCATCAACTATATTATAGATATGGGATTTTACAAGTGCTGAAGTGATAAATACAATTTACATATCATCTCCCGTCACTATATTAAAATACCAAACTGAAAGCAATCTTTTGGCAACTGCTAGCGATGATCTTACAATTCGTGTGATCGATGTCGATACACGTAAGATAGTAAGAGCGTTCAGCGGGCACCGAAATAGAATTACGGATCTTGTGAGAACTCTATGATAGAAAATTACATCAGTTTCTTTTTCTAAATGTTTTGATATTCATATATAATATGTTATTAGACATTTAGCCAAGATGGTCGATGGATCATTTCAAGCTCCCTCGACTCAACTATTCGTACTTGGGATCTTCCATCTGGTCATATGATAGATATATTTCGAGTTGATAGCATCGCAACTAGTGTCTCATTTTCACCTACAGGTGACTTTTTGGCGACATCTCATGTTGATAATGTCGGAATATTTTTATGGTGAGCATAGGAAAATGATTATTTTTAAATAAATGTAGCAAGAAAAATTATTAAATTACCTTATTGCTTGACAGGGCAAATCGCGCACAGTTTGCTAGCCTGTCTCTAAGAAGCGTGTCTGATGATGAGGTATTTGATGTTTCATTGCCTACTACGTCAGGAATCGATAATGATGTCGAGGGTATGCATATTTATAACACATCTTGATAATCACAACTGAAGCTCTTATATCTTGGACCCAATGGTTCCGGGTGTTCTCAAAATGATTTCACAATAAAATACTAATTTGTCAATTTCATTCTTAATTCTTATTTTGCTATACTTTTTCACTTAGATGATATTGCCAATCAAACAAATGGCGATGAAAAAGATTTACCTTTCTTCTCATCCGAGCAATTAACCGAACAAATGATTACATTATCAACCTTACCGAAATCAAAATGGCAGAATTTGTTGAATTTAGATACAATTAAAGTAACTTATTCTACAACAAGTATTATTTCATATTTTTCGTTAGCAGAGTTCTTTACTCGTTATCTTCCCCCCAACTTTAGAAACGCAATAAACCTAAAGAACCGCCAAAAGTTCCCGAGAAAGCACCATTTTTTTTGACAACTTTACCTGGTGTAGAACCAAAATTTGTCGTTGAAGAAGGGAAAAAGACAGCAAACAATGATAATAAGATTGTGAAGTTAAACGAAATCCGAATGGAAACAGAATTTACAAAATTATTGAAGAAGAATGAGGATTCTGGAGACTGTAAGTTTTTGCATCATTGTCTCCTTTGTTTTCATATCAGATTTATTTGACATTCATCATTTATTTTTTTGATATTCTCCAATTGTCAGACTCGGAATTCTTTAACTATTTAAAAACACTCAACCCATCCGGCATAGATTTCGAACTTCGTTCCATGAACTTGGACAACAATTTCCAAGACTTGCAATTGTTCCTGGACGCAATCGAGTCACGGCTCAAATCAAAAAAGGACTTTGAACTGTGTCAAGCATATTTAAACCATTTTTTGCGAATATATGGAGACATAATTATCGCAAATCCGGAGCCATTGGGAATAAGATTGCAATCGATTTTGGAAGAGCATCAAAAAGAGTGGTCGAGAATAGAGGAATTGTTGCAGTATAATTTGTGTATGTTGGATTTTTTGCGAAGATGAATAAAATAACATTTTAAATACAGATATATATATATAGATGGATCTATTTAAAGAGAAACAATGGTGGTATATAAATTCATTCAAGCAAATTACATTCATACTGGTAATAATTATTTTTTTGGTGTTATCTTTATATTAAATTTGCTTGATATTTAATCATCAAACGGATATTCGAATGGTTCCGGTGGAGGAGCTTCTTCCTCTTCTGCAGGCTCATTAGCTTGATTAGAAAAAATTGCTTAGAAAATTCCAAAAGCGAAAGAAGTACAAATGTCATAGTGATGAAAACAAAAAACTCACCAGCTGGTGCGCTAGGTGCAATCAGTTCTTCAGGTTCATCGGGTCTTTGATCCTTCATCATCAAAATTCCACCCACGATTCCCTAAATGAAAACAATAAGAAAATTATCAATGACAAGGAAAATGATCCATCTAATATGGAGTGAGATTAGAAATTGAAACTTACTTTCTTTACAGGTATATATCGTGAATCCTCTTTGAATGATATATATTGTAATTGTCCTGGTAATACTCTTGCCATATTCTCTAGCACTTCAAACGATTCTTCTTTCTTCTTTTTTCCTTTTTTATCTTCTTTAGTCTCATCCTAAATATAAAAAAAAAGATATTTAACGATCGTAAGATGATGTTATCTGTTTCAAAGAATATGTGGAAGTTACCTTCTCTTCATCTTTCTTTGTATCGTCCTTTTTCTCGTCCTAAATATTGCATAAATAAATGAATTACCCAGTTGTCTAAATAAAGACTAAATATTTTTTTTGATGATTCAAGAAAATACCGTTTCCATCGCATCGGGAATTTCATGTCCTTTCTCTTTTTCCGATTTTTTCGCTCTAGCTTTAGCTTTGGCAGTTGTAGAAAGTACAGCAGTCGCAACCTTTTATGATATATATAAGATGATGTGAATAACTGGTTTTTATTTTTTTTTAATCCATAATAAAAATTAATACCTTTTCTACGACATTTGTCGCAGGCGGTTTTGTGGTCGCAGGGTAAGCAAATAGTGAAGGTTTTGCATTGGAGATAAACTCGAATTTAGGAATCTAATAAATTCCAAATAATTTGAAAATATTGCAGCGATAAAATAAAGTACAATAATTTAATGTAATAGAAATAACTTTACCTTCAATTCCTTATTTAAACCAATAATGGCAGTCGGCGTGAACGATAAACTCAAAAAGTGTGTCAACGGGAACCAGTACCAGAATTGAGTGAATACTGCCATACCAACTATAGCGGGCATATTCGAATGGCCAGATCTTGATTGCAAGGAAATTGTCACATTTCTACCACCTAATATAAAGAAAAATAATCCACTGTGAGATAACTTATCAAACTGCATGTACTTTAACCTATTACGCATCCATAAAAAAATAAGCACCAGCGTCGATAATTCCTTGACCAAGAACAGCTCCAAATTTTGCCATCGCATCTTCATGTTTATCATTGATTATTTTTTCATACAATTTACGGATAGCGGAAACCTATTAAGAATTTGCATTATGTATTGAATATAATAGTAATTTCTAAAATCGATAGGTCTTTTTCAAGATCTGATATCATCCTACCTTTGGATTTATTGCGTCGTTCTGTTGTATCAAAATCATTGCAAGAGAAATAAAAGCGCCTTGTCGAACATAATCAACTGGATCTTTAGTCATTGGCTCTAAAAGTTCAATGGCTTCCTGGGATCAATTTGGAGAAAGTGTAATGATTAAGCTTGTACAACCAAATTTAAAAAAACCCATAAACTAATAGAACAACAATAAGCAGCAGCTAACCGTCAATCCAGTTCCAGCACAAGATATACCCAAAGCTAAAGTGGCCCCATATCGTACATTTGGATTATAACTTTCCGACAAAAGTTGAACTATTCGAGGAACCTGCTTTGGAGTTCTGAACAAAAGGAACCCTAGAGCCGTCACAGCAGCGCGACGTACATCGTCGTTGACATCACTGACAGCAACATGCAATAATCGTCTAATTGCTTTATTATTGCCCGTGCCACAGTAAGCTAATGCTACTGTATAAATACCGCCATAACGCAAAATAGGATCCTTTAATGGATAATTTGGTATATTAGCGGTTTTATTCAATATTCAATAAGAAAATATCGAACAATACACATACTTTGTCCCTGCTAAGTTGTTCCACTAACGCATCTGCTGCTTCTTCTTTGCCATACATAATCAAAGCGATACCGATCGCCAATCCACGAATAATTTTTTCATGTTGAGTATCATGAGCATATTGCAGCATTTCCCCAATTGCCTTGCTTGAGGCGGTTCCAAGCATAACAAGACCCATTGCAAGTCCTGCTGCCTCGCCAGCAACAGCACTATCGCTATATAGTACAGCTTTAAGTTCCTCATATATATCTTATTTTTACATTAATAAAACAATATAATTCAAGTAAATAAATTAATTTAATAAAGAAAAAAAATAAACAAAATTTGCGATCTTAATAAAAATACCATCATTTCCAGTCGCTGTACCCGCAGCACCAAGACCCAAACAAGCGCCATGTTGTAATACCTCAGTCTGGGTACTACTTAATGCATTCCTTAAATACTCGAGCACTCCAGCACCATGATTTGCATGAATAAGCCCTAATGCAAACAATGAACCTCCTTCGGAATAAGAGCTAGCACTCACACCTTCTTGGGGTAAATAAGGTGCTAGCAAAGCAAGGCCTTGCGATAGATGTCCCTAAAATTTCAAAAAATGACATAAAATAAATTTTCGCTATTTTTATGAGAATAAAAACGATGAAATATTTATAATACTTTATGTATCACTCCTAACGCGGCAGTTGCACTAAATTTTGACCAATTGGTAGCACGTGAAAGCCACTCTAGATTCTGACGAAGAAATTCATCGCTTGTGGTGCCAGCGTGCATGAAGGCATTAGAGAATGTGACGGCCGAATGGTAAACAGAATTACGAGATTCTAAAACATTCTAAAAAAAACCACTTAATATATCATGTTGATAATGCAAAACTGGCAAAAAAATCCTTTATCAGAATAATATGTAGTACTTTAGTATTTTTCAGAATTAATAAATCCGTGTGATTGTTGCGATATAAAAATTCCAAATGTAATTTAATTGATTCTTCCCCGGAGAGAATGCTACGTATTCGAGTATACTTTTCTTCGTTAGGATCTCTTTGCGGGGTTTTCTGTATCGTTTGCAAGCATTTTTAGCAAAGTTATTACTAAAGTGGATTTTTACACGAGCCGCCGAAAAACACTACCTGTTCCTCTGCTTCATCTGTTTCCATTGCGTCTTGTTTCTCCGTTGCACTTGGTGTAGAAACGGCAGCAGCGGGAGGTAACTGGCTTACGACTTTTTGAAGGAACTCTTGCGTAGCATTTTCTTCAAGATCAAACGCAATTTGATAGGCCATTAACAAATAATCCTTTTCATATAAAATATAATGAGTCTCAGAGTGATTGAAATTCGAGAAAACGATTTGAAAAAAAATAACCTGTTTCGTACATCGTCGCCTTTTGAGACAAGATCTTGTAATAATTTCGCGGCTGAAATTGGATCATTAAGATGTACGAAACATTGACTAATTGAAACATAATCCGGCTCTTCGAGGTTTTCGTATACTTTGACTAATAAACTCAAAACCTAAGATGAAATTTATAATAATCGAGTTAATTTTATCGAAATAGTCAACAATGTTCATTAGCACATCTTGAAAGATTTTTCACCCTATTTCTAAAATCCAAACTATGCACCAATGTCATACAAACATCAAGTACATAGCTCATAAGTTCAGGTGCGTTTCCTTTCGATATTGTCTGCTCAATTATGTCCAAACGACGCGACTCCAATGCGATACCGATGGCCTTTCATATCAAAATTGTTATTGCTTTATGGTATCTTCATATTAATATTAACGTCCTATCAGTATCATGTAAGGTTTCAAACCTGTTTGAATTCACCGTCATCGTAACATCTTTGAAACATTCGTTCAACAACTTCTTCTAATCGGGGATCGATTTCAATTCCACTAGTAGGATTTTCATAACTCTCAACACGCAAGTTGATATATCGGTCTATACACTTTGCTAGATGAATTACAAACATAAAATAGGGTTAATTACTGCATCTAATGTATTTTTATGCAGTAACAAAGAAAGAAAACATACATATAATAGTCTCAACATATTCTGACTTTGATGACGCGTCAAACAAAGTTCCTGCGCCCAGAGCAAAAGTTAAAGAGTCTTCAAATTCGCCAAGATGATAGTATACCTAGTTCATGCATAAAGTAATTGAAGACATGACGATTTCAACTTTGATAATTCGACGAATTTTACTCACTTTTGACGCAACCAGAGCAGAAAGCTCACGTTGAGAAAATTCCTCATCTTCGTACAGGATTTCTCTAAAACACGTCAAGTAAACAATTGCACGCAAAGGAGCGAATGAAATTAAGTTTGAAAGATATAAATCTTTGGTGAATTGAGCGTGAGATTTACACGTTCTATTGACCATAATAACAATAGAAAGCCTACATTTTAGAAATCGCGTCTGCAATCTCGGCCCAAAACTGATCAACCAAGTTGTTTAGCTTTTTAAGTGCATATACTTTGAGCTCCTCTTCTGGCTCGTCGAGCAAGGCAATAATGCCACCTTTGGAATAATAGATTCGGGATTTTACAGCAATTAGAAGAGGTTTTCTCGATTCAATTAATAATGTTCAAATAGATACTACCGGCTGAAGTAAGTCCCACCATGGTTTAGAATCAAATATCAAATAAAATAATGAAAATTTAAATTCATCTCGAATTTTTTTAAATATTGAATAGCAAAAAATTCTAAGCATTACGTATGCGTGATACGTCATTTTTTTTTTAAAATAAAAATAACTAGCATATCAATTTTATTTATTATTATTATTATTATTATGATTATTAGTTAGTTGTCTATTTTACATTATTACGAAGATACCGGCTATCTATTCATTAATTATCCTTTAGTCTATGATACATTTCCCTGGCGGGGGGACTCGAGTAAAAAACTTCTAGGAAATTATAGCAGAGACGTTATAAGAAAAATGGATATTGTACAATCATATGAGATAAAGATAAAAAAAGTCTTTCGTATCCAGTACGATCTTCGCTTCCGCCAAAGATATAAATGCCGTTCCAAATTTGATGAAATCACGTAAATCTTCCTTGCTCACTCAAAAAATGAATGTTTTTTTCATTAAATAAAAAAAATACTCGTCATCAACGATATGAATTCGTCGGTGATGTCCAAGTACGATTTACTGCTAGTTACAATTATTAGATGGAAACTGCTACTACTCCCGTTCATAGTAAATAAGAAGTAGACGGCAAAATATACGACGTGAGAAATTGTTCTTTCGGATTTTTCCTTTTGTGGTTTTTTTTACCGAGAATGTCAACAAGGAGGTTTACTATTATAAGCTTCGATCTTCTTCGGAATCAGAAGTATCGTCACGCAGGTCTGTTAACCCAATGTTCTCCTCTTCGAAAGCACTCAACAATGCCGTATCTCTTCTTAATGTGATTGAGCTACGTCCATCACCCGTTAATGATGCTCTCATAAGACCATTGCCATTTTGATGCATCGATAATTTATCAAGTAATAGCTTATTAAATTCCGATTTCGCGGTATTTAAAAGATAAACACCAGCGAATATTGTTAGAAAGCCGCAGAAAAGGCTGATGACATTCACTGTATTACTAGTGTTAAATCCTTGAAAAAGAATTACGGAAGCTGCTATCGTTGATGTTGTGAAGAACACATAGTAAATGGGGTTTACGCTATTTACCCAAATCAACGAGAATAGAAATTAATTAGTCATGAATGGGGGATTAAACAAAAATCCATGTATCAAATAAAGATCCGAAAACTTACAGATTTGTCGAAAATTGGTCAAGCGCCTTATTAAAATAATTCATTTGAGTCACAATACATACCGCTGATATTATCACAAATACGTAGGTTGAAGGATGAGAGAACTGATTGTTGCCAGAAAACGTCAGCTTTAGTGCAATGCCAAATCCTTTACACGACATGACAGATATTGATCCAACCAACGAACAAATTGAAAGATAGACCAATGGATTTTTTTTGCCATATTTTGGAACAAGTCTCGTAATCATAAAACCAGTAAATAAAACAACAAATGTACAATACGTTAAAAATCCTAAATCAAAAAAAAATTGCATATAATTATTAATAGCGAAAAAAAGCATCGGAGAAGAAAATAAAAAATTACCTGGATTTAAAGCATAATTCAAAATTTCATCGACAGTTCTTATTTCTTTATCACCAGGCGCGTGTAATACAATTATGACGGAACCAATCAGACATAATCCGCATCCTACAGTTCCATTGCGTCCAAGTTTCTCGTCAAGGAATATCGATGCAAGTAAAGCACTACAAAGTATTTATATATATATATATATATATATATATACAAGTCTGGATAAATGCCAGTGATAACTCGTCAAAAAACCATATACACACATAAAAACTGTTGGTTACCCAATTAAAACACTAAGAGCACCGAGTGGCGTGATGAGAATTGCAGGTGCAAAAGAATATGCTGCGAAATTAGCCAATTCACCCACAATCACTTTGAAAGGATAAAAAGTTTATTAATAACTCCCATAGCTTCGAATGAATTCGTGAAAAATCAAAAATCAATGCTATCATAAAATTAAAATCGACTCATACTGGTTAGCATTCCTCCCCACCATATTGGATTTCTTAGATATTTATGATCTTCACTTGCTGAACCTAAATAAATAAATAAATAACAATCTATTAGTATCCGAAATTCGAGAATAATACACGAGTAAAGGTAAATTCGCCAAACTCATACCATGTCTATCTGTCGTATCAATTAAACCCTTTTTCGTTATAATGAAGGAGGTGCCGATCGCCAAGCTAGACAAGATGGCTAAAGTAACCCCAATGTATTTGTCTTCAAGCATTTGATTTGAATACTTTTGTAATATACCAAATTGGAAGTTTGCACAACAGTATAAATAAACAAAATATCAAAGCGGTGCCTTCCAATTAACTCTCTTTTTTTTGATTGTAAGATGGTTGTCACCAGGACAAATTCAAAAAAGTCACTGATGTAGTTGAGGATACCTTTAAAGGAAAGACGCCGCCAGTGGGAAAAAGGAAGGAGAAAAAAGAGTGAAAGTTCCTCTGGAACTTAAAAAAGGATAAAAATAAAGTAGAGAGAACAGCCGGTGCACGATAGGCTCCGGTATAAAGATGGTTTTGCAAAGGGATATATTAGGGTGTCACTCCCCAAACTCTTGGACGTGCGATAGTAGTTAAAATAAAAAAATTAAAAGTATAGTTTATATTTTGAGGTAAGATAATTGGTGACACCATCTACTCTCTATTCTAATTTAGGCTTAATTCTCGTTTCTTCGGACCTCGGCCAGCATTATTCTTTCCCGTTTGCCGAAGGGAAAGAAATACTTTTTTTGGCAAAAACTATAGTTGCTTATTTTTATCATTGTCTATGATTTTTTGATTGTTGGAAATTTATTCCCGCGATTCTGAGATCGTAAAATCGATATTATTCACGTGTGAATTATCAATAATCTTTTTGTATGATCTGATTTCTTTTTGCATTCGATAAATTATGCGTGTTCTGGTAACTGGAGCTTCTGGCCTGCTTGGTCGTGCAGTTTACAAAACTTTTTTAGAGGATATGAATGATGGTTTGTTTCTACTGTTTCCCACGCGACCTTATTTTTGTAAAATGATTAATTAGACGTGCTTATTTATTTACTCGACATTTAACATGAAAATATGGGTAACGATATAGTGATAGGATTAGCAAAAACACGAGCTAAAGGAGACTTAAGACAGGTTTTCATCAGATCATTATTCTTCATCCATAAATCCATAAAAGGAATCAAAGTAAAAGAATATTCTATATAACGATGAAATCTCTGATTGATGATATTTCAATAAAGCTTGATTTAACTGATACGGAAACCGCTGAGATATTCATTAATGAAATAAAACCCAACGGTAATAAATAATTGAATTTTAATGACATATAAATAAATTCGATTGATTTACTTTTAGTAAATCCTAGTGATTGTTCATTGTGCGGCTGAACGTCGACCAGATGTCGCTGAGAAAAATCGGGATGCTACTTTACATGTATGTCCTGATTATTTATAGGCTATTAGTATAAATCATTGACGTATATTTAATAGCTTAATGTAGAAGTATCCGGGCAACTGGCTACAATCGCTGCCAAATCCAATTCTCTTTTTATTTACCTATCCACCGATTATGTATTTGACGGAACAAATCCACCTTATGGTGTTGATGCTACACCGAATCCCTTGAATTTTTATGGTCCGTTTTATTTTTTGATTTTCTTTGATTCATTTGGAGTTTTCTGAATTTTGATTTTCTCTTTTAACTTGTACTGCATAAAAGGTGAAACTAAATATAAAGGAGAAGTTGCGGTGTTGAATGCGAATCCTAACGCAGTGATTTTACGTGTTACTGTCTTGTACGATTTTTAGAAATTTTATTTGATGGTGATATGTATTATATTCTATTAATTTAAATTGCCATTATTCCGTAACTTGCACATTTAACAGATATGGTGATGTTGAATATCCTGGCGAATCGGCCGTTAATATTTTATTGGAGACTGTCAAGGTAAAAAAAAAAAAATGAATTAATGATTATCAATATCGATATAAATTAATATTTTTCTTGTTAGATAGAATACTCAAAAGACCGTTGAGATGGATCATTATGCGAGGCGATATCCCACATGTGGTAAAAGATTTTTCTCCATTCCAAATGTTATGATATATATTTTTACACTAACTTTCCGCAAATATTCAAACAGTGGAAGATATAGCAAGAGTGATTAAAGATTTAGCTAGTAAGCAATTTACTTTCTAATAGTTCGAATTGATTTGAAGTCCTTACTTAATCGATTCTGAAAACTTATTTAGAAAAACAAGTCGAAGAAAATATTCCAATAAAAGGAATCTTCCATTTTAGCGCCCAAGAAGCATACACAAAATATCAGATGTGTGGTAAGAATAATTACTATCATTAATCACTCATCGTTATTAAATTGAGAAAACATTTTGTCAATTCAAATTTTTTTCCCGTTATAGTTGTATTTGCTGAAATTTTGCACCTTCCAATTGATCATATAACTCCGAATGACAAAGAGCCTGCATCCACTGAAGGTGAACTTTATATGACTTACCTGGTTTTTTATCAATAAACGCTCTAATATATTAATAATGTTTAACTTTTATTCTCGCCTCGATATTATTTCCAGTTAAACGTCCATATGATTGTCGTCTCTCAAACGATCGATTAAATGAATTAGGGATTGACACCAATTATATGGATTTTAATAGTTGGTGGACGCGTAAATTAATACGTAGAAAATAATATTTAATAATAAACTAACAAGATCATAATTGGCATCTCTACCACGTATTTGACCCATAATTTTATTAGTATCAGAAATTCGAGAATAATACACGGGCAAAGGCAAATTCAATCTACCGTATCAATTAGCCATTTTTTCGTTATAATGAAGGAAATGCTGATCGCTAAGCTAAACAAGATGGCTAACCTTATCTTCTTAAATACTTTTGTAATATACCAAATTGGAAGTTTGCACAACAGTATAAATAAACAAAATATCAAAGAGGTGCCTTCCAAATAACACTTTTTTGGATTGTAAGAAGGTTGTCACCAGGACAAGTTCAAAAAGTCACTGATGTAGTTGAAAATACCTTTAAAGGCAAGACGTCACCAGTGGGAAAAAGGAAGGAGACAAAAGAGTGAAAGTTCATCTGGAACTTAAAAAAAGGATAACGATAAAAATATATTAGGGTGTCACTCCAAACTTTTGGATGTGCGATAGATTTTGGTGACACCATCTATTCTCTATTCCAATTTGGGTTTAATTCTAGTTTCTTGGACTCTTTCGCGTTGTGCCGAAAGGAAAGAGATACTTTTTGGCAATATTATAGTTGCCTATTTTTATCATAAATTTTTCGATTTTTGGGATATCCTCGCGATTCTGAGATCGCAAATCGAATTATTCGCGTGTAAATTATCAATCATCTTTTTGTATGATCTCTTTTTTGCATTCGATAAATTATGCGTGTTCTGGTAACTGGAGCTTCTGGCCTGCTTGGTCGTGCAGTTTACAAAACTTTTTTAGAGGATATGAATGATGGTTTGTTTCTACTGTTTCCCACGCGACTTTATTTTTGTAAATGATTAGTTAGACGTGCTTATTTATTTACTCGATATTTAACATGAAAATATGGGTAACGATATAGTGATAGGATTAGCAAACACACGAGCTAAAGGAGACTTAAGACAGGTTTTCATTCTTCATCCATAAAAAGAATCAAAATAAAAGAAATATTCTATATAACGATAAAATTTCCTGATTAATCCATGTCATTTCAATAAAGCTTGATTTAACTGATACGGAAGCCGCTGAGACATTTATTAATGAAATAAAACCCAATGGTAATAATTGAATTTTAATGACATATATAAGTAAATTCAATTAATTTGTTTTTTGGTAAATCCTAGTGATTATTCATTGTGCGGCTGAATGTCGACTAGAGATAGCTGAGAAAAATCGGGATGCTACTTTACATGTATGTTCTGATTATTTATAGGTTATTGGTATAGATCATTGACATATATTTAATAGCTTAATGTAGAAGTATCCGGGAAACTTGCTACAATTGCTGCCAAATCCAATTCTCTTTTTATTTACCTATCCACCGCTTATGTATTTGACGGAACAAATCCACCCTATGATGTTGACGCTACACCGAATCCCTTGAATTTTTATGGTCCGTTTTATTTTTTTGATTTTCATTGATTTATTTGGAGTTTTTCCGAATTCTGATTTTCTCTTTTAACTCGTGTTGTATAAAAGGTGAAACTAAATATAAAGGAGAAGTTGCGGTGTTGAATGCGAATCCTAATGCAGTGATTTTACGCGTTACTCTCTTGTACGATTTTTAGGAATTCTATTTGATGATGCTGTGTGTTCTACTAAGCTAAATTGCTATTATTCCGTAACTTTGCACATTTAATAGATATGGTGATGTTGAATATCCTGGCGAAGCGGCCGTTAGTGTTTTATTGGAGACTGTCAAGGTAAAAAATGTAAATTCAAGTAAAATATTTTTCGAATTAATGATTATCAATATCAATGTAAACCTAATATTTTTCTTGTCAGATAGAATACTCAAAAGACTGTTGAGATAGAACATTATGCGAGGCGATATTCCACATGTGGTAAAAGATTTTTCTCCATTCCAAATGCTATGATATATATTTTTACACTACCTTTCCGCAAATATTCAAATAGTGGAAGATGTAGCACGAGTGATTAAAGATTTAGCTAGTAAGCAATTTACTTTCTAATATTTCGAATTGATTTAAATTCTTTGCTTAATTGAGTTTGAAATTTTATTTAGAAAAACAAGTCGAGGAAAATATTCCAATAAAAGGAATCTTCCATTTTAGCGCCCAAGAAGCATACACAAAATACCAAATGTGTGGTGAGAATAATTACTATCATTAATCATTCATCGTTATTAAATTGAGAAAACATTTGGTCAATTCAATTTTTTTCCCGTTATAGTTGTATTTGCTGAAATTTTGCACCTTCCAATTGATCATATAACTCCGAATGACAAAGAGCCTGCATCCACTGAAGGTGAACTTTATATGACTTACCTGGTTTTTTATCAATAAACGCTCTAATATATTAATAATGTTTAACTTTTATTCTCGCCTCGATATTATTTCCAGTTAAACGTCCATATGATTGTCGTCTCTCAAACGATCGATTAAATGAATTAGGAATTGACACCAATTATGTGGATTTTAAGAGTTGGTGGACGCGTAAATTAATCGTAGAAAATAATAATAAAAAATAACAAAATCGTAATGTTTGAATAATTGTCATCTCTACCATGTACTTGACCCATAATTTATTTAATATCTCGAAATTCTGCTTCAGGAATTGAAGAATTAGGGGAAGAGGCGTCGGACATAGAAATCGATGATTGCCGTCCAATTGTTGGCAAATAAACTATAAGCTCCCCTAAAGAGACATTTCCAGCTGTCAAAAATCCCGTGGCTCGAACAATCACCTCCTCATCAATAGGAGTCATACCACTGAATTCGATTTCCACTTTATTTTCCTGATATCCTCCTTGTAATGAATCAAACGCCGAGACACCGGCCATGGAAATTGAATATGGTTTTGAGAATTGAACATTTTCCGGTGATAAACTACCAAGATCCCGTTCGAGAATATCACGATATTGTTTATTCCGTAGAAGTTCTGTAATTGCCAATTCATATAACCGATCGACGTGTACAGATGATGAAAATGGTATGAATAAAGATTCGAAGAGATTGGTAAGTCCGCCGCCAAGTCCAGCTCTACCACCATCAATAAAATCACCATCTCGTCTTGTCGCTGGTCTAATTGAAAATAAGTCACTGAAACTTTTTAAGCGACGATCACCACTTGCCACGTCTTGAATTCTCTTCAACTGATAATAATGATGTAACCCCGATTTTATAAGCCTGTAAACTCCATACGCGAGCGCACCATTAAGTACAAACGTAAGTAAATGTGGAAGTAGGAAAAATGTTAATGTTGCACCACCAATAGCAAGCGCGGTACTTTTCCAGTCTTCTCCATTTAGACTTCTTCCCCAATGGTTCTTGAATTGTTGTCGTAGGGAGCGAAACTCTGAATAATTTCTCACGATGGAAATCTGAGAAGCTAAAACTACACTAGAAGAATGCGGCAACATGAATTTCCGGTTATGAGATGCACCGTATATACAGGTTGTTGAAAGTGAAAAATCAGTAGAAGAACCGAGGGTATCATTGCATGTCCTTTTGATGGTATAAGGACGAATACACCCTCGAGAAAAGAAATTCTTTACATTAAGACGCAAGAGATTCGGGTTATATAGTCTAATAAAGGTTGGAATTGTTTTACTGCAGGCTTTCTGTAGTAACATTTGTTCTGGTGGGAAATTTGAAAAAAATTTATTTACATTTTAAAATTCTTTACGTTACAAAAAGTTCTTTGGATTATGCCAAATATATTCGACTAGTGGAATATTTGTGTTAAAAAGCCTGTTTTTACCTATTCCACATATAAATATTATTATAAATTAATATTATAAATATAATACTTTGATTAAATAATAATAAGGCTATTCCGAGATAATTACGTATATAATATTGTTTTATTAAGTTTTATATGAAATAGATTAAATTAATTCGGAAAAAACAATGTTAATTGCGAATTTAATCAAAAACCATTTCCTTTATGAAAGCCATGAAAGTCACAAAGAAATTGATCGAACTTGATCAACAAACTTTTCAACTCGATGTCGTCATAATCATCCGTGGTATTTTGTTAAGCCGGGGGTGAGTTAGCACTTGTCGGATTATTATTATTGACATTGGCATTTGCGTTAGAAGCGGAAAAATGACGAAATCGAAATGATTCGGCGGATTGTCGAAACCGATTCGTGTTTTCTTGTCCCACGATGACTGTCGCGAAACGAAACATCATACCTTTCATCCATTCTTCCCATTCTGCTCCTGCACCCGTACTCCATGATTTATTGTTATTATGATTATTGGAATTTCTCGCCGTTGATCCATTTGATGCATTATTGTTGCCATTCATGTGTGGTACGAAACCATTTTTTGCATTTCCCGAGTTGTTGTTGTTGTTGTTGTTGGCGTTTCCATCCAAATTCGTCTGATCAAAATATTTTTTCGCAAATGCTTCCCAATCTTCGCCCATCATTGACAATTTATCCCGAAAGCCATTCCTAACTTGGGCCCAAACGCGCGATGTACGTACAACTCGTTTAGTATCGTCGTAAAACGTGAGAATATACGATGCGCAAAATATGAAACATAGGGTCGCTATACAGAACGAGTAAATGATTACAAGTGTGATCATTTGTACGGTTGATGATGTGATCACTCGTCTTGGCAGATTTAGTGGTTGAAGTAGTAGCGCTGTTAGTAAGGCTGTAGAGTAATGAGTGTTATTGGTGGCTGGAGTTGGATTGATACTGGGATTATTTCGCCGAGAACCAGAATTACGTCGTGTTGGTAGTGAAGGCGGAGGATGATGATGATGATGATTATTGTTGTTGTTGTTGTTGTTATTGTTGTGAAAATTGTTGAAATTGTTGAAATTATTATTAAAGTTATTAAAATTATTATTTGAATTATGATTATGATTATTAGCAGCGTTAGTATTATTGTGCATCGCATTTGGTGCGGCATGGTGTCTAAGCGGCGGCGAAGGACGAGCAAAAGACGGGTCCAAGTCATTAAAGTCATCATATGGACCATATGAAGTTGGTCCTGGTGAAGTTGTTCGAGGAGTCATTTCTTAAATGCAAATTTTTTTTTAACCTTTTGGGATTTTAATGATTTTTTCGATCCTCTTTTCCTTCTTATTCCGAGGGAAGACTCTCTTATTTACTAAATTGTGTATATATAAAGACCGAATGGATTTAGAGTAGAAGAAAAGCTCGATCAAATCTTTTTTTCAATTACAAAAATTGAACTTTTATACGAAAAACGAGAGTTGCGAAAAATTAAAAATCAAAATTTAAAGGTTAACAAAAAAAAATCTTACCGAAACTGATAATGGAAAAAAAAAGATAATACGGAATCGAATCAATATTGTTTTTTTAAGGATGGAGTGACGAATCTATTATTCGTTGCCCTGCTTTTATATTAAACTATAATTTATAATGTAAGTAAATAAATAACAATGTTTTTTGGGGTCTGGGGCAGAGTATTAAAATTTGCCTCGAAAGTATTGCTTTTGATCGACGCCATCTTAGTTGGGCTGATTGACTTACTAGTATCTATGAGGCGGACTCGTACTGACTGGCTAGGATCAGTATTTACAACGACGTATTTATATTACACACGCTTCAAACGCCCGTGTGTTCTATTTTAGAAATAACAAATAACTTTAAATGGTATCATTAATATTTTTTTTTTATACAGGATAATTATTTTCTATCTATTATATATTATATATTATTTATATGGTGTGTATGTACGCTTATCGTTATGTACTCATTGTCATTGATTTTACGTAATTTACTTTATTGTCAATTTAATAATTAACTTGGGATCCCTTAAAATAACTCTATCCCGAAATTACCTGTCATCGTAAATTTCACATGAAAGAAACGAAAAGTTTAAGAGGTAAAATTTAACGTGATAATTTGATATACTCGATTGTCAGCATGGTCATAAAAGTAAAAAAAAAAGCAGATTCACATTCATACGCGTGAATTTGCTGTTGTTGTTGCATAATTGTAGATCACGCTACTTTGATAGATAAATAATATGACAAAACATCAACTGATCTACCTTATAATATTATCGATAAGAATTTTTTCCATGTCGATTTTATATTTTTTTCTACTTGCGTATTTCGTTTTCATTCCATCCTACTTTTCTTACTTGTTCTAATTTCGTCCTTTCTGTTGCTAGCATTCGAATGGGCGTGTTTCAATGCTGCGGTGACGCCTTGTGATGCGTTGGCTGATACGGCTACCATTGGAGCTTTCATATCGTTGTCTTCGTGTTTCACAGACCTGAGTGGATATTCGAATAATTGCCCCTCAAATGAACTAAATTAATATGTGAACGATAAATCATTATAATTTTAATTAGTCAATCAATCAATTAATTTGTCAATGATTCAACATGTGGGCTGATTTGACTACACACGATTTGTATTTGGCCTAATTTTGGCTGGAGATAAATCAATCGAGAAATCAAATCCGTCCATATGGTAAAAAAAAAATCTGACTTTTTTTCCCTAATATATACAAATTTACTGAAATGAAAATTTGTAATTCCTTCCTTACTTCATCGACGGACACGGTTCTTCTTCGAAATATGGATGCGAAAGTGCATTTTCGGCAGTAATACGTTTCAAAGGATCGTACTCGAGCATCTCGGATAATAAGTCGAAGGAGGCGTCTGATTTCGCGGAGCAGAATCTCTGATGATAATCACGAAGACTGTTTGGGTATCTTTTTATTATTTACCCGAAAATATAGTTAATATTTGAATTTTCTTCCGAAACAATGAAAGATAATAAACGAATGAATTTAATTAAATGACATTTACGATTTAAAACCATACAAGTTTGGATATTCGGGTTGTTGATCGATAGTTGGCCATCTTTCTTCTATTTTTTTTTTTGAATTAACATTTTAGATTCATAAATAACCGATGAACAATTCCCTAAGAAATAAATGTATACTTGTTGGTGTTCCCAAAACTTCAAATATCCGAGTCAACTGGTTCTTTTGAAACGGCACGTTCTTTTTACTGTCCATTTTCGCTTCCTCACCCTTGAATATTGGTTTTAAGGTTAACAGTTCTGCAAAGATGCAGCCAACAGCCCAAATATCTAATATATAATATTAATACTATTAAATAGTATCTCTAATGATATAGAAAGAATCAAATAAATTAGTTTACCTATAGCATTTGTATAATGTCTTGATCCTAATAAGAGTTCTGGGGATCGATACCAAATAGTGACAACCACTTTATCACCATTAAATAATGGTTGCAGAGGACGATGATATAATCTAGCTAAACCCAAATCCCCTAATTAGAAACAAACAATAATGATATTAGCGAGTGATTAAACACATCAAAAGAAAAAAAGGAAAAAAAAAGAAATATACCGACCAATTTTCACAACACCATCAGCAGTAACCAAAATATTCGCCGGTTTCAAATCTCTATGTAACACCCAGTTAGCATGCAAATACGCGACTCCGTTCAGTAATTGCCATAGAAACGATTTGATGGTGAATTCTGGAATTGGCTTCCTTTCATGTTGACTATGATGATGAATTATTTGCTATTTTATGAATTCAAGTGAATACACGTCCATCAATCAATCAATTAAATAAATAAATCTCTTTCATGAAAAATATAATAAATAGCCTTACAAGAAAATCGTGTTCAGCGTAATCAAACACCATATGTATTGATTTATCTTCGAGCAATACCTCAATCAATCCGATAATATTCTCGTGGCTTAACTCTCGACATAACTTTTTTGTAAAGAATCATTATTATAATTTGAAAATTAGTGTGTGCTAGCTGAACAAAAAGTAATAATGATCACGAATGTCAATTACCTACAGATATTTCACGACACGCCGATTGAGAGATGCCTGTATAAGAATGCGGTTCACCCTCTTTATCAGGCTTGAATTTTTTGATGGCATACAATCGCTCCTTTTCTTCTTCTTCAACGCTAACATATATAATTCATATAGAAATATTGAGTGAGACTTTAAACTTCACATTAACGAGAGGATTTAAACAGACAAGCAATAATACTAACACTAATTTTGTTTTTGCTTTTGCTTTATATACACGACCATATGTTCCCGAGCTAATGAATCCCAAAACGTCGTATTTTTCCGTTACGCGTGTTCGTTGTGTTTCTCTTCGCAGTTTGAACTCTTGAAGCATTCCGCTTGCTGGTTGTGCTGGTTTTTTAGTTCTTTTCATTTTTAATCATTTTCTCTTTCGATTTTTGATTTTTTCTCTATTCTCCTATTGCTGCGCCACATAGCGGGATTTGAATATTAAAAAATCGACCAATCAAATTTATTTTAAGAAATCCAGAAAATCGAAATATTTTTTTATCCATGTTGGGAGATTACACAATTATATTTATATGAGATTTATTCACAAAAACGCTTCTTTTCAACAATTTTTTAAAAGTAAAATAAAAAATTTGAGCCCCAGACATAAAAACCTTGGTAGAATTTTCATCTTTAAGATATTCTACAGTAACAGTGATGGCAATGGTAGCAAGTACACTAGTAACATTGAAAAATTGAATTTCATATTCTTAATAAAAATAATCAAAATAAAAAATATATGATTTTTCCAATAAAACGATTTTTTCGTTAGTGGTTTAATTAAACGCAATGATGATCATGGCGTTGTAAAATAGAGTTGTACAAAGTTCTCACCCGACTATTTCAAGAAGTCGATGGTCGTTATCCCAACAATAAGTTTTACTCGCAAACTTCGTCATCACACTCTTCATTTACGTGAAAATGGCTACTGCATTTTTGAAAGCTAATCCAACGGTATGCTTTGATATTGACTGAAATTATCAAGGAAACATTCGTTTAATACACACAACAATTTTAATACTTTAAACATGGAATAGCTTATCCCCCTATTTCTTGCTTGTGGTGGGGGTGTTGGCGGAAGTATCATGTGAGTTATATTTTTATATACGTGTTTTTATGCAATTGCTGAACTTTATTTTTTTTTCTCTTTGTATGAAGGTATGCATTTTACACACTCCGCACAAACCCGGACGTGATTGTGAACAAAGTAGGAAATCCTCAACCTTGGAACCGCATTGCTCAACACGAAAACGCCAAGGTAATTACTATTTTACGCTTCTTTCTTTTTTGAATTGTTACACGAATTTTATCGAATACTTTGAACAATAATGTAATTATGGGAAACTTACTTAATAATTCAGCTTATTACGATCAACAAACAGTTCTTCGAGGATAGAAAAGGAATGGAATCTCCTTCTTCACGATATTAATCGCATCGAATTTTTTACTAATGTTAAATTAGTTTACAATGTTGGTCGCGTAATTGTTATTTTTATGTAATATATTTTTTGGAAGAATCGTAAAGAATCGTGTAAATCTCGCGTGTGAGTCACATTTCCCACAGTTTTCAAGTGTGTATTAAATGTGAACCATATACCTAACTTATTATTGCGTCGATTATACGAATTTTATCGCCGACATTTAATTTCGCCCCTATGAATTTCAAAATATCATATTATCAATAATACTATAAATAATTAAAATAAACGAGTTAATTACCAATTTTCTTGTGAACAAGATTCATTCCTTGAATGAAACGTAAGTTAAGTATAATTAATATGACAATTTTAATAATTTGATAAAGCTCGTAAGAGATAGAGATTGGCTCACTCACCAACGCAAGGTCGGTATTTTGATTGTTTATCTACTCTACGATATGATTGTAAAACTTTGAATACCTCATTACTCTTTCTCTTCCCAGTCTCTGGATTTACGGTTACCACTGTAAACAACATTTGAGGCATGATTGATTTTTCAATCGGACAATAAATAATAGCAGCATCAGCAACAACAACAACAACAACAACAACAATATTACTCACTAATACACCGAGTAGAACGAGATGCGACGTAAAACAAATTTTCGTCATCTTCACCAATAACAAATTGTTTCCAAGTATCCTCTTCAAAAGGAAATCGACATCCTTTGACCACAATATTAGGTCGAAAATTCCGCATGATAACAGGTGACGACACTCTATTGTTCACATCATTTAACGATTCTTCACTTATCAATAAGAAAGGATAGCCGTCGGCGAACGCTGTCTGCGGTTTAAATCCGAGAACTTGTTCACTTGGCGCGTATATTCCGAGGGTCCTTATTTCTTGTGTGGATTTGTATACGATTCGTGATGATACTCCCATATATTCGGTGATCCAGGTTGCTGCCTCATCGCCACAATCGTATGCGTCAAGATTGCTAGACCCTACTACGGCTTTTTTTAATACATGAAGAGATTCTCTAGATAAACATATATATGTATGTATTTATTTATGTGTGAGACATATAAATAATAGCTAAAGACGAAAAAACTTACTTTGGATTAAGTGGAAGTGATAATTCTCTATCGATTCCTGGTGCTGTCAATACAAGAGATCCTCCATGCTCGTCTTCTGGGTTTTCGTTAATGGTTGGGACTATCAAAGCCATCTATAACATAAATCTTTATTCTAGTTATTACACTTAAGATAATATTAACCATTTTTAATTGATTCATTACCTTTGGAAATTCGCGTTGCGTTCGGTACTTGTAATTCTCATCAACAACCATCCAAAATCTATCATACATAAAACCAAATTTATTAGTCTTCCATGAATCCACTTGGATGCCACGACAAGATTTCACCGGGTAAATATATAGAGTTGTAACTTCCAATTCACGAGAAGTCATTTTTTGTTGGAAAATAATTGCAAGTTAATCGTAACGATCCTCGTCGCCGTTACCATGTTTCAAAATTTTTATAATGATGGTCTGATTAGGTTGCACGAGTCAATAAAGATAAAGACGATTTTTTCCTTTTTTCATACATAAAGTCCAGCATCCAAGGTAGCACAATGTTAATTTAGTAACAAAATCGGTCGACTTTGGGCAGATCTTTTACACATACATGTAGATTTTCGAACACGATAACAAAAACAATAACCAATCAAATTAAATTTCCATTTTTTTAAATCTACAAGAAATTCGTGCTTATTCATTTCAAAAATGCTTATTACCTGTTTAACTTTAATAATTCAAATTATTATTTTATTAAAATTGGAAACAATCTTATTGTTTTCTAAAAGTTTATTTAGAAGTTTCAAACATGATAAAAATGAAATTTAAAGGGTTTATTAATGTTAAATGCTTTTTTTTCTTGACGGATTTCAATTATCCAGATTACAGACGTATAAAAGATAATTACATGGTATTTGTAACCTGATTTTAGATAGTAATGGTAAACGATCCATAAAAATTAATATAAATCAGATTATCATCACATCAAGTATTTCTTGCATAGAGGTTAAACTATGAATTACGAAATTATTTAAAGCTGCAAATAAAATTTAATGTATTTTTTTTAAATTTTTTAATAAGTAATTTCATATTTTATTTTTTTAATTGAGTAATAATTGATGGATCAAGTATCTTTTGGAAGCTAATGATCAATGTCAGAAATATTTGAGAGGAAACTAATTCTTTGCAAATTTTACAGTATTTAAGACTTCCAGATGAAATTAATAAAAATAGTGTTTATTTGGCACTTAAAGTGATAGGAATGAATAATAATTCTTATAGTATATATACAAAATTGAAGGAAACTTATTCAAATTAACTTTGAAATGATCAAGTCAAAATGATAATATTATATAGATGAATTGATTATACAGATAACTCAATATTTAATACAAATATTTGCTTTATATGATAATTTATTTAGCTTACAACAAATCAAATATTATAAAACTTTTCTGTATTATTCTTACTTGAATTAATATGTAAAATAAATATTAAATAACTTTAAGAATTTGTTTCTCAAAATATTTCAAATTTATTTTTAGTAAAAGAAATATTACTTCAAGCTGAATTCCAATATAATAATATTCTTAATTAAGTAAAATGAAAGATTAAAGAGTTATGAGAGAATTTATATTTTAATAATTCTTATAATAAAGAAATTATTAGAAAAAAATAATACAAGTATTGAATATTAAATTAAATAGATTATAAAAGAAATAAAAATTAAATTAAAAGTAATTAAAAAAATTTTATATTAATTTTTAAAAAATTAAAAACTTATTTAAAAATAAATTCTGATTTATTATCATATTATATTAATTATTTAAAGTTATTATGAGAAAGATAATAATAATAAATTAAATAATAAATTTTGATTGAATTTACTAAAAAAGCAAGATTAAAATCTATTATTTTTATTAACATCAATATTTTTTTAAATTTAATTTAAATTAATCTTGTATTATATATTATAATTAGAATTAATATTTAAATATATTGTTTAAATATTTATATAATTAAATTACTAATAAATTTTTATTTAAAAAATTCAAAATTATTCAAAAATTAATTTTAATTATAATATAAATTCTATAAATTAAACTATTAAATTAAAAATTTGTATTATAATTATTTATTCTTTATATTGTTACCGTTTTAAGATTATACATATGTAATTATTTTAAAATGGTAATAGTGACTGTGTTCACGGCAATTGTTTACTTTTATAGGTCCAAGAGGGTTATA